AGACAAAGAGAAGAAGTAAAAGAGAGTGAAAACAAGAACCTTATAGAAATTGTTAAAAATGGGATTGGATATGGGATATAGTGGTTGGGGTTTTGACCCTTGTCAGAACATCGTACAGTGATATGCAGTAGTGACCTGTGAGCAATGATGTTAGAAGTTGGAAGGGTTTTTACCTGAACTACTAGCGGAGCGATAAATCACTCCAGAAGTTGTACTTAGAGTCTTAGATTAATATAAGACTTTGATGAATGAGTTAGTTAGAGAATTAGCTTTAGCGTCACATGTATAATGTACAGTTTACAATTGTTTAATAAAGCACACATAACTAGCCTGACAGAGGGTTATAATTAAAAAAAAAAAAAAAAAAAAACGATCAAGTAGTAATTATACTTTATTATTAACAAGAATGACAAAAATAATCTGCTTAAGAATTAATCTTAAAAGCAATATAAATCAAAAGACAAAAAAATATCTGATCCAATAAATTCTATGACTAAACAATAAAAAAAATTCAAAATCTGAATAGAAAACAAGTTTCTAAAGATTGATTTATAATCTTTCTAGTTGAAAATAGAAAATGATTTTTAAGAACTCAACAAGATCTGATATAAGTTTGAGTCAATAATTATTAAGAGTGTATATAAGCATCTCAAAAAAAAAAGAATCTATTTTACTTCTAATACAAGAAAAGAAATTAAACTTGAATATGCAATTCTAAAGAAAGATCTCAATGCCTATAAAAAAACTAATAAAATTTGTTTTTGTATAAATAAAATATAAGTCAATTGGAATATAAGAATTCTAAAGAATATAGAAAAGACCATAAAAAAATTAAAAAGTCTTGACAAATCCATTGATGAAAAAAACAAGGTCCTGTCGTCGTCACCAAAATGTGATCAAATTTATATTTGACCGGTGTGTCCAAGTGAAATTGCTTTTAAAAGAACAATCCCAAAGAAAGAATTAAAGAAATAGTTTATAATAAAGAAATATTCAAGAAGAGATTCACCAAGAATTCTTTAAACAGTGTTACATGGTATTTCACAAGAAATATGGTTCACTCAGAATCTAAGTTTATTAATAAATCAAGAAAACTAGAACAATTTTTTTAGTTGCAAAATCAAGAAAAGATATTTAATCTTCAAGAAATAAAAATAAAATTATTCCTAAACTTCCAAAATCAAGTGAAGCTATCTACAAACCTATCCTACTTTTGAATAAATTATGACTGCTTATATACTTGTAAAAATGGATCACTTGGGTTTCATAGGCCTCCTGAATCTCTTGGGCTACTTGATCTATGGTAAATTATGTCACGTACTATATTTGATAAAGTGATCTATGCTAATCAAGTACCAATAAAAATATCAAAGAATATCAAAGAAATAATTATATATGAATAGATAAAAATAGAAATAGAATGAAGATCATAACTAAAATAACTATTCAATGATATTAGAGATTATTTTTATCACAGTATAAAGCTTAATAAGATATAGCAACAGAAACAGAACCTTTTTAAAATAATATGTGGATATATTTATAAAAACAAAATAAAAGATATTGAAGACTTCCTCAAACTACACTATAAGATAAAGTTACTTCTCACAAAAAAAGTTATAGGAAGATTGTGTCAACAAATGCAAAAGAATTTTAAGAAAAAGATTTGAAATGAATACTACAAAGTAGTAATTGAATGGAAAAAGACTTTGGGTATTGATAGGAGATCTAAACAACACTGAGTTCTGAAAAACAAGTTTGAAAACACAAAAAATCCAGAAGAAGAGAATAGTCTTTCATCAGACAAGATATTATATAAAAAACAATTCAAAGATATAAATCTTGAGAAGATTATTGAAAGATAGATAGTGAAAGAGGAAAAGTGATTAGACATTTGATTTGCATTTAAAATTTTGGGTGATTTATAGTAATAACCTGTAAGCAATAAACTTGATAGTTAAAGAATAATCCAAGTTATTAAGAGAGTAAAATATTATCTCCTAAGTTGCATCTAAAGAAGTTAAACTTCTAAGATAGGTGAGCTATCATGTGAAAATCTTATAAATTGTAGAACTTTTTTTAAATACACAATAAAGATAAGCTGTATCAGCCTGATGGTGGATTAAAAAAAAAAATCAAAATTAAATAAAAACTAATATTAAATAATTGAATTTTAATTTTAATTATAACTTATAAAAATATTAATCTAAATTGTAAATGGAATAACAAATCATTTTCAAAGTTGCTCTTAAAGTTAAATTGATAAAACAAGTGAGCCAATATAATTTAGTTTTAACAATTTATAAAATACAATATAAGTATAATTATTTTATAAGTCAAAAATTTTTTATTGATAAATAATGATCATAAATATTTTCTATTTTTATTGGTTAACTTATATTTTTTGATTTCAACATTGGAAAAAATAAATACAATATACAGTATGCAGAGTCCAACGTTAGCATTAGAAATCTTGGGATTTATGCAGCAATATTGCGCACGATAATTTGACTCTAAAAAGAAATGCTTAACAAATTGAATCCAGCAAATGTGAAGCACATGGAATCACTGCACATGACATAGTTTTTCAGGTTTGAGTCACGTATGATCTAACCCATTATACATTTCTGGGACGCTTGTTATAGTATGCGTCGCCTCTTTCCGTACCAATTTTGCGGATACGCTCGTAAATTCCCTGTGGTCTTCCCCTTCCGTAGTGACCTCCCCTTTGGGGGATAAACGCATTTCCCCGGTCGTACTCACGATTTCGAGTACCATAATCCCGACGAAAGTCACGCCTGTCAGTGGAAGGATTAAGATTTCGATTTTCATTAGAATAGTGCCGGGTTTCATCGCGTGGCCTTTTGTTCACTCTTAAGTTTGATGATAATGCTGATATCGATGAAGCCGGAGGACCGTAATCCTAGAATGAAATGTAATTTTTCATGAGAAATTCATTACGTTATTAAAGTTTGCAAGTGAATTTATGGCTACCTTTTCAGCACTTGTCTGTCTTTTTCCGGGCCTAGATGAAATATCACGTTCAAACTCTGGACCAGAACACTGAAAGAAAAAAAGTGAAAGAGATGAGTAAGATACATTTAACGTGCAGAAAATGAATATATAAATTCATAATACATCGACGAAACAATTTCGATCCATTGAATCGGTTATTAATTTTTTCCAAAGCTCATTCCGCTCTAAAGAACGTCGATTCCCAAGAATAAACAGAGAACACCTGGCTCGTGTTAAAGCCACATTTAATCTTCGTAGATCTTTTAAAAACCCAACACTGTTTTCTTTGAACAGTTTAAAATAAGGAATAGTAAATAAATAAAAAGATCTTGACAAACTGCAAATAAATATAAATTATTGTACCTTCTCCAGCCCTCACGCAGGAAAATAATATTATATCCTTTTCTTTTCCTTGAAAGCCATCCTATATGCGGATCACACGCACGGACTTTAAAATCATGGTTTCTAGCGGCGTAAAACAAAAAAAAAATTTTTTTGAGCATAGGTAATAAACTCACCACCGTATTAAATTCTATGTTCGTGTACAGATTACGACTAAGCTTGTTTCTAAATTGTCTCCTGATTTCCGAAAGCTGGCTCTTATAAGGTGTTATCACACCAATGCGTCCTTTGAACTAACGATAATACGAGTTTAACTAAAGACCAGTATACGAAACATGAAAAACCAAAGATTTGGAAGAACTTACATTGACGTCAGGGAAATCCTTTACCAATCTATCCACTAATTTGACTGCGATTTTTGCTTCTTCGAAATTTAAAAGAGAATTTTTTTCATATGACATCACGCCCTTGACATCAAAGAATTTATAAGGAGAAAAAATCGGTTTTATATGCCACGGTTGCTTTCTCAAGGATTCTAGTCCCTCTGCATTTTTTAATTCGGAATTATAGAAAAGAAGGCTAGGAAAGCGACTGATCTCAGGGTGCATCCTGTACTGCGTCTTTAGCATGTGAATTGATTTTGGAGCGCACTTTTGCAGTCGGTTAAACAGGCTTTGCTCATAAAAGTAACGCGTCGCAACACGTGAAAGAACGGTCGGTGGCAATTGATTAGGATCCCCGACAAGTATACATCGGTTGGCATTAAATTTCAATGGAATTATCGAACTTAATTCAATCGCCTGTGCTGCTTCATCAATGATGATAGTTTCGAATTCTTGCGCAAAAGCTGACAACCTATCGTGTCCACTACCAGCCAACGTTGCACAGATAATGTCAGCATCGGCTAGGTCCTTGTCTTTGTTGGTTCGAATATTCTTATCTCTCTTCTCGGACTGATCAGATGAAGTTGATTCTGGATTTTGCATCGACTTACGAATCTCAGCGATATTCTTGTTAATTTGAGCAATGTCAGCTTCCAGAATTGACACATCCCACCCAGAAATTTTCGGATCTTGAAGTGACCGATTTTTTTCGCTCAAAGATTTTTGTAATTCGATTAACCGATTTCTGCTTGCTTCTTTGGTATTATCCGCCCCTTCATCTAAGTTGGCATCGTTCTTTCCAAATCGAACAACCTTCACATTAAACAAATTTCCCTCCGAATCAAAGATTCCTTGACTCAACCGTCTCTCCATTTCATCCACGGCCGCATTTGAGGGAGCGCAAGCCAAAATGCGGTGTTTGTAAGTGGTTGAATTTGCCTTTAACGCGCTTATTATGCTAACAATGGTGCTTGTTTTTCCAGTACCGGGAGGTCCTTGAATCAACATGTATCCACTTTTTTTCTGAAGAACTTTACTGATTGCTTCCGCTTGTGATTCATTTATCTTGTATAGATTCATATACTTTTGAACTTCAGCGGAGGGGACGGGCGGAAACGCGTAAACTTCGGGCTGCAACAATAATTTGCAGAATTTAAAGTACGGCATCGCCTTTAAAGCGGCGTATTCTCGCGCCGCGGGTGTTAAACTTTTAAATGCCAATGATTGCGGTTATTACTAATTGCCTGATATTGATATGGTTTAAAAATATAGCGTAGGAATTCTCACCTGAAAATCTTTTCTACAACCCACTTACTTCCCGGTCTTAATTCGCTCCTAAAGTTATTATGATCATTGTCAAAATAACATTGCATATTCAATTTGTTGGACGAAATCCATTTCACCAACGAAAGACATTTCTTGGGCGAGATGTCCAAACTTTTTTCACCAGGTTGATTTTCATCAGATTGCTTTACCAACAAGAGGTCATTTTCGGATAGTGTTTTCAAATTTGTGTTCGACAAACCCGAAACCTCAACAAAGTCATCGACCGAGGTGTTGTGCTCCAGGACTACAGTATAAACGTCATTTTCACCCACCTCCTCTTTGTTTTGCATAAATCCTTGCCATAATTCAAGGATCAAGAGGGGTTCAAAAATTTTTTGATATTCTTCCGTTGAATTGAAATGGTCAGGAACCTGCTTATACAATTGCTGTGAAGAATTAGGCGGAATATCTCCGGCGGCGTCAATGTCCCAAGACAGGACCACTTTGTATAAACTCTTCAAATTAGGTTTTAATCGGCGCATTATATCTTCCTTCTCTCTACGCTTCCTTTCAACCCGAGCGCGCTCGACATCGTAGGGGATCAGCTCGTTTATGTCAAGCAATTTCGTTCGTCTCGGAGCTTCCGGAGGTTTACGTAATGTTAATTGTTCCGATTTTTTATTTATGCCCGATGCAGAATTTTCGTTAATCTTTGGCTCTGAAGTTTTGGCTGCAGCGGGTTTTATTTTTTCGTTCCCCCTTGCGTAATAAATGGATTCCTGTGTCTTGTTCCACTGCTCCTTGACGAAGGATTCCCACATTTTGCTTCCTTGTTTGTTTGTCGATTTTTTACTTGAATTCATTGAGATCGGAATTCTTGCGATTTTACGGGAAACTTGAGGCAGTTTTTTTTTGACAACGGGAACTAAACGCTTAGGTGCAGGCTCTGCATGAATTGTATCTCGAGAAAGCATCATTAAAGGTATTCCGGAATCATTCGAGTCCAGAATAATCGGATTCAATTTTGAGCCAGATTCATCAGGATTCGACGACGATGTGACGGACTTGCCATCAGATAACGACAATAGCTCTGTGACAAGATCATAACGTTCTCCGTGTACAGCGGCATGATACATGCCATCATTTCCCGAAGCAACAGTTTTCAATTTTTCATGTAAAGTTTTGTCAAGTTGTAGACCGTGCTTTTCAAGTATCGTCAAAGCAACCTTCAATGACTCCAATGACAGCTTAATAGGCAGATTCGCTTTCTGGAATGTGACAAGTAACCACTCTAGAAGATCCATCAGTATAATTTTAAAATCCGAATTTTCCATAAGAGACTCGGTAAACGCCGGGACCCATTCGAACAAGTGCCAACATTGAGCCGAGAAGTGTAATGCCACTTTCATGAAAGCTTCACTTTTGAAGGCTCTTCCTACCAAGACTTTGGGAGGTTGCGAAGAATATTTCCAAAAAGTTCTTTCCAGTTTTTCCAAGAGAACTTTAAGACATTTTCCAACTTCGATGTATGTGCTCCCTTGTTCGGCGGTGGTTATCATAAAAGAGTTAACCAAGTTGCAGAAATCGACGGTTTCGTTGCAAAATCCATCTACAATAGCATTCGTATCTAGGCAGCTCAGTATTCTGCGAATACCTTTCCAAAATACCGGCGACTTTTCTGCGAATGGATAACCTTGAGATCTTTCGCCCGGATTACGGAGGTGTCGAACCAAAACTTTCGTAAAGTCACTGTATCCACCGTTAGCAAAGGTGTCTCGATCGATCAAGCTTCTTCCGCCCATATTCTTCCATGCCCATTTCTGAATAGGATCAAATTCATGAACCGAAGCAACAAAAATTCCGACCGGATATTCTCGCCCAATTGTTAGCGATATGTCGTTGAGTCCATTCGCTTGAAATGACTCGACGAGGAGCGAATTGATTGAAGAATTCTTGAACAATTCAAAATTGATCAGCATCTCGAAAAACACGGCGTTCAAAGTTTTCTCAACCGATGACTGTGACTGCGATGGTCCAACATAAGAAGACTCTGCACTTCCATGTCGGTGCTTTAATCTTGTCAGGGTAGCGACGATTCGACTTTCGTTCCACGAATCAATAATTGAAAATGTTCTATTGACACTTTGCGTATCATTGTATGCAATCAGGTTTCTGATGATAAGATAATGGAATGTATAGATCAGACTCACATTTATAATACTCTAAAAAAAATAATGTCATAAGCTGAAGACCTTTGCTTTAATTTTTTTTTTTGTGCGTAGTATATCTTAACGCAATCTGTGCAACTTGATAGTTGTTCAGCCAATATTTTTTTAAACCCTTCCACCGATTCGTCAGGCTCAACTAATGAAAACAAGTCCAAAAGCTCCGTTGAAATGTCTGTAAATTCATCGCTGCAAAAAAAATGTTTCGAAATGCCATCCTCATGGCATGCCAAGAGGTAAGTTATTCCGTAGGAGTAGAAGCGCTTCGATGCAATTGGGTTCGACTCTTGTTTGAGGAGTAGTAGCTCGATAAGGTTTTCGTAGGAAAATTTTTTTCTTGGTGTTACTTCACTCATGTTGATAAAATGTAAACCCCCAGCCAAGAATCTAGAGTCATATTAAAAGAAAGGCCGCCATGAGTTTCATCGATAATAAAAAATTCGGCATACATCTTTGTGATATTATATTATACCTGCTCAACTTTAATATTTCTTATTCGGATTAACAAATCTGCAGTAAATCTAATCTAAAATGATCGATTAAAAATAATGTCTCTTTAATTCATCCTAACTTTGTCTTTTGAATGTTAAACGATTGACCGAGGCCACTCAACAACTTTTCGTAAACCCTTTCATGTTTCATTGAGGAGAAACTATCAAGCAAAGAGTTTTATGAAAGTGGTAGCATTGAACTGCTAAGGCAATTCATTTTACACCATTGACCTTTCTTGTGACCATATAAAATCGTGTGCATTATGTCTAATGGGTAAAAGAGGGTTACCATACCTTGATATAAGGTATGACAGAATATTTAAATTTCGAAAAACAACTTTCTTAATCGAAAAAAAAATTTTGAAATCTGTATAAAGAAGCAAAGAAAAACATCATAATTTATAGTCTTACAATTCTCATTTATAAATATTGTTTTCGTGATAAAAATTTTTTTTTTCACCGTCCAATCGAAAACATTTGAAGTTTATACGCGATCTTGTTTGTCACACGAAAATACACGTGTATCAACCTACTCTTTTTGAGTTTATTCTCGACCAAAGAGGAGTTCAATGGTAAATTAATGAAATGACGATTTTTTTAAAGTTACTATCAGAAATCAAAAAGTCGCATTTCACGTGATAAAAGGGATGATCAAATAATTATATATATTTCTGAAGTATAAATTAGACTTCAAATAATTATATATATTTCTGAAGTATAAATTAGACTTCAAAAAATCTATGATGTTTCCCTTATATAAGACAATACAGTATATAAAAAATTGAAGATAATTTAAGTTACAATTTATATCCGTTTAAATATTAATTTATTGGTTTTTTTGTTCGAACTAATAAAATATTTTAATTAAAGGTTGTATTAACATTTTTAATTACTTTATATAAAAATTAATCAACTTAATATATAACTATTGTTAAAGCTTGAAATTATTTTTTCATCATCTAAATTAATTGTTCCTCCATAACTTCATCCTTGGCTACGGACCATCTCAGAAATTCATCAATTGTTTCAAAATACCCGTGCTGATTAATGGTATCTGCGTGTTCTCCATCTGGAAAACTTCTCCAGGTTTTACCACCTTTAGTGTCCAATAGGTCATACAATTTTTTCATTTGATCTTTTGGCACCAACGTGTCTTTATCGCTCGATAAAAATAATGCCGGAATCCTGCGAATCTTAAGTATAGACTGTTCGGAAGGCCAGATTTGGGAACAGAAGAAAGAAAAGTAGCGAAGTAAAGGAGAAAATGTTGGGATAAGTTTTGGCTAAATTAATGTGAGATGAATGTGTTGGAAAATAGGGAAATTAGAGATCAAGTATATATTTTCTGAAAATATCCCAATTAAGCTTACGATGCTGAGGAATGTGTTTTCCACTATCATTGCTTCAACCTATATAAACAAATCGAAGGTTAAATTCGAACTAAACAGATATTTTACAAAAATATTTATCTATACCATATCTTCATTCTTTGAAACCAAATCAATAGCCACAGCGCCTCCAAGTGAACGCCCGAAAATCACAAGTTTGGTGTTTTTCAGTACACTGTGTCTTTTAATGTAATTCAAACAAGTCTACTGATGCATTATATTTGAACAAGAAAGTAGTAAATATTAATTTCGTTATAAAAATATTTTTTTTGTTCAAAACTCAAACGCCATGCATTTTAAAGAAATCGTACCTGGGCGTCGATTTTAATACCCTTTTCTGTTGGACTACCTTCACTATGCCCATACCTATAGTTGAGTGATTGTTATTTATGATACCATTAAACTAACGTAAAACGAAATAATAGATACCCTCTGTAAGAAAGCAAAACCACATTGCACTTTAATTCATTGTAAAATTTGGTCGCAATTATGGAACGTTGCCCCTATTATTATCACAATCAGTATTTTACAACTTTCTACAATAACTCTCAAATTTTTTTTTTTTTTTTTACTGAACTACGTTTCCACGGTTTCCCTATAACGATAAAAGATAGATCAGAATAAATGAAAATATCAAGGTACAAATCGTAAAGTTGCATACGTGCAAAACCAAAATTGTAGGTCTTTGGCGAGCCTCCTCATTAGTGGGGCGTTTACAAACGTAGGCTTTAATTCTAACATTATCTTCAGTAATCAACGTTGTCTCGCTGAATGGAATTCCATCTTCCGCGAATTTCGGCGTTGCCTTTGTTTACCGTTATTTCGTCAATTAAATCATTTTTTACGAGCTATTTAATTTTAGAAGTTCTTACAAATTGCCTTGATTTCTTTCGATATATGGCAGGATAGATTAATTCAGTTTGAAATGCATAAAGCAAAACTCCCGTTCCAAATATAATCGTCGTTCCCGCAACTAGATAAGTTATTAATGGCATCTCTAACCAATATTCTTTGAAGGTTGCAATGCTGCAGCCTTCTTGTATCCTAAATTATGCTTATCTGCGATAAATTTAAAAGGCAAAAATTTTTTTCTAAATTATGGTCATGCTGATCACACGTGATTTTATATATTATTATTATTGTATGGTTTAATTTTTATTGAAAAATGCTATATTGACTTTCACATGACAATTAACACTATAAGAAGTTCGTAAAGTTAGTTTGAATTAAATTTATATTCTGACTTTTATTTACCAGAATTATCGCGCCATTAATAATTATCTTGAAAAATGAATTATTAAATTAAGTATATTAAAAAAAAAAAAGAAAAAATTAATTCAAAGATTCTTGTTCAAATCAAAGAAACAATACAAAGTTATCTTGTAATGTAAAAGCTAACTTTATTACTATGTGGGTTCTAATAGTATTCTTTCTTGATTTTCTCTGAAAAATTTTGCCTACCTTAACTTGATCCTAAATTTTAAGTAGCACAAAGTTTCACATAAGTTGATTGGTTTAGTAAAATTATGTTAGTAAAAGAATATAAACAAATCTCTATTGATTATCCTATGTGTTTGAATGCATTTTTTCAGTTCCATAAGAACCTAAAGTCTATTATAAGTCATATACTGTGATACAGATAAATACAAGACATGTCATCAATACATTATTGGATATAAGAAAAAGTTTATTTGACTATAATAAAGGTCTTAAAATATTTAATTAATCTTTTTAAAATTAGAACCACCTACTCTTAATTGTATATCAAGTAAGTTCCAGCTCTTATTACTTGGAAAAATTCAACTAGAGAAAAAAAATGACCAGAAATATTCAATAACAAAGTTTATATACAGTATATAGTAAATTAAAAATTTTTTATTTTATTTTTAAAAAATCCCAAATAGAAAATTGGAAGAATAACATTATCACATCAATCAAAACTTGAATTCAAAAATATTAATAATAATATATAAGTTAATCAGATAATCTAAAAGATCCTTGTTAATTATCAATACCCATAACCATTAGTAGAGTATGCAACTGCAAAGCTAGATGCAGTCCTTTTCTAAGGAATTATTGCATAAATAGATAAATATATCGATATTTAAATAAAAATAGATTTAATTGATAATATACTAAAAGATCTTTAAGTCACTTATATAGATACAATATATTATTTAAACCTTTTTGAATACTTCCTTCCTATAAGTTTCAAATCTATAAAGTTTTTCTTGTTATTTCTATCTTATCTCTGTAAAGACTTGATGAAAGCTTCTCCTTAGACTATCTTATGAGAAGAATTTAAAAACAGAATAGTATATATTAAGAAATATAACTAATACTATTTTAGTATAATATCTGCAGTAGTGACCTGTAGGCAATAAAGTTAACAGTTAGAAGGGTCTTTATCTGAACTGTTAACGAAGTGATAAATCACTTATAAAATTGCCCTTAGTGTTTTAATAATTCTTAAAATAGAGATGAATAAGTTAGGTAGAGACTTAATTTTAGCATATATTTTTAATATAAAGTATATATATGTTTAATAAAATACACATACTTAGCTTAACAGAAAGTTTTTTTTTTAAAAAAAAAAAAAAACTATTTTAGTATAATATATAATTATTTAATTTTCTTTTATTTTCTTTTATTTTTTTATTTTTTTTTATTTTTTTTTTTTTAACCCACTGTCAGGTTAGTTATATGTGCTTTATTAAACATAATGTAGGCTATACTATTTATAGTGTCGCTAAAGCTAGAATGCTAACTAACTCACTCGTCTTAGTTTATTATTAAACTCTAAGTGCAACTTTGGGAGTGATTTGTCGCTCCATTTATATTTGGGTAAAAACCCTTCTACTATAAATATCATTGCCTGCAGTCACTACTGCAGATCACAGACCAAAGTTCTGACTAAACCTAAAACCCAACCATTTCATCCCACTTTTGACCCCCATCATTATTATTCTTGTTAAACCTTTTATCGGACATTCTTCTTCTGTTTTCTTTCTTTCTTCTCTTGACTTTCTTGTTTTTCTTATTGAATAAGACTTTATAGGTC